TTGGTTGATTCCCAAGACCCTCACTTGTCACATGAAAATCACAGCAGCCTCCCAGGAGATGAGGATAAATTGGTCACATCTCTGAAGAGATCCTAACCCAGATATATACAAGAGTCCAGATTAAAGTGTTCTTTCTAGTGAGAAGAGCAGAAGTCCCCAGGGCATGGACAGAAGAGAAATTAAGCAAAGGAAGTAATAACTATTCAGTACTAAGAATGGAGCATCATTGATTATGAATAATGAAGTCTAAGCTGGCAAAGACCACCCAGGCACACGTGACCAAGTAAAACCCCCAAAGGCCAATTCTGCTGGACATCAGGTGTGTGTGTTTCCAAATTTCTCTCTCACTGAAAAAACATCTTCAATCCTTCTAGGCCAAGGGCCAGAAAAACCTCAGATATTGTCCAAGTAGCACCCCCATCATAGGGAGCCACAAGGCTTGGCAATGATGGTGGAAAAGGGAGACATTCCTTCTCTGTGTGTTCTAGAAATACTTCTAGAATTACACTTGGAACCCAAATTTTAAATTGAGGCCTCAGGTGATTTGGGCCTCACTTCTTTGAGCATAGGCACCATTCTGAAGAAGTTTCAGTTCTCTTAGTAGAACTAAATGGTCCAAACACAGCCCCTTCTTCATAACTCCACACTAACCTGAGGAAACTAGACATCACCTGTCCTAGTCAGTCAAATTCTGAATATTCCATACCACAGGTGAGATCAGCAGCCCCAGAGACACCTGCACAGATGGGTGACTCCAGGCACCTGCCACCCTCAGCCCAGGTGTCATCCTGTCCACGACACCATCACTGCACACACAAACACGCATACACAAACCCTCCTCTGCACCCCCACTTCCATAGAGTTTACCATTGCATTTATTATTACAATGTGCTTTAATTGTTCATTTACATTTTGCCTCCTCAAATACATTTGGAGCTTCTTTATCCCTAGGGTCTAGCACCCAATAAGTATTTGTAGGATGTGTTGAGCTGGGCTGGGATAAAGTTGAATTGAATTGAAATGAGTTGAATTGAATCAAAATGACACTGGGGAACACAGGGCAGTACATTCCCACAGCGACAAGGTTGAGCATTACTCCGACTTCCTCATCAAGGAATGATTGGACGACCCACCGCCTCTGGAATCTCTCCCCAGTTCCCCAGCCACGCTGCCCCTACCCCACCAGGCAGGTCCTCATTGCTTCTTATGGAACAGAGCCGGGGCTGGCTCACTGCTGGGCTCAGCCATGACCTTCATGGGCTGGTTGTTCAGGGCCGCCTCACGCATCTTGTGGTACATGAACTCGTTCTGGCGGAACATGCGCAGCTCCATCTCTGTCTGCACCCGCATGGCCTGTGGGACGCAAGTGCACCATAAGCAGACATGACAAGCCCCCAGGTGAGGCTGGTCTCTGACCTCCTTGGGGTAAACAGCTCCCAGTCACCAACATTCAACTCCACCCCTCAGAAGACACACACACACTTATCCATTGGGCGCCTAACGTCCTGACAGTGGGCCCAGATTTTTAGAGAGAAGGAGTCAGACCGTTGAGAGAATAACTGGAGGGACAGTGCTCAGCAGAGAGTGATTGTTCTCAGGAACAGTCAAGCAGGGACCTGACTTTTCTAAAGCAGAGTCCACCTGAAGTCTGACTCTCATGCTCAGACAGGCATGACCACCCAACTCCAAGATGCTACTTGCCTCTAAGTCCTTGGTGATGGGGTGGGAGGCCCCATGTGTCACCAGGAGTATGGCGTAGGCTTTGCAGATCATCCCATGCCCCACCTCAATGTTACCCGCGTGCCAGTTGGTCAGTCCTGCCCGCATCACAGCCATGCCCAGTTGGGCATTGTTGGGGTGGTAGAGCTTCCTATGGGGACATAGCAGATAATCATAACACATCATCCCAACCATCCCTATATTGCACATCATTTGACAGCTTATAAAGTACTCTCATTGATTAAGTTCATCTGCTCCTCCCACCAGCACTGTGAGGTTTTTGTGGTTTGCCAACAGGGGGGCCGAGGCACAGAGACATGGGGTGAGTTGCCAAACATCCTACACAGTGAGGCTATGAGAGCTGTGACTCTGACCTGGGCCATCTGGCCAAGGCCTCATGGGGAAGAGAAGCCAGGATTGAACTCAGAACTTGAGCACAGGAAGCTGGGAGTTCTCAGAAGCACCTCAGCCCTCTTCCTGGGAAGTAATGGTAAGGGCAAGGGAAAAAAATAAATATCCTTCTCAGGACAGTATTATATTTTCACCTTCTTGGCACCCTCTTGGTAAGGCTTTCTTTTAGCATATTATGCAATTTACCTGCATTTTTCTTATAAGTAACATTCTCTCAAAGAAACGAGCCTTCTTATGCCAACTTACTCATTTGGCCAGAAATACAAATTCACACGACAATGTGCACACAGAAGGCCAGGGAGGATATTGGCAGAGGGCAGGCAAGGGAGCTGCATTTTACAATTTATAAGCAAACATGACTGATGCCTTTTTTTTTTTTTTTAAATGAAACAAAGCTCACGGATTGCCTGTGTTGATTGTTAAGGGAAAAACCTTTCCAAGTGTTTAAAATCAAGCTGGACTTAGCCTTAACAAAATCAAAAGCAGAAGATGCCACCCAAGTAATAGATGAGCTGGAGGATTTGGGAAAGGCTAGGGATGACAAATAGGTTTCATCTCAAATACTAACTCTGATTGTTTGGTCATTACTGCCCACAGCACCATGAGAAAAAGGCTCAGTCATGAAGAGAACCATGATCAATTACTGATGCCTGCTGTGGGTGCAGGAGTGAGCGGTAGCAACACCTGTGCTATCTATTTGCCATCCCCTGGAATAGACACACTTCCAGGAGACTCTCTAAGCCCCGGGATTGTCACCTACATATAGCCATCCACCATCCTCCTGGCATAGTACGAGGCCTCCTCAAAGGCCTGAAGGTAGGAGAGGACCTCTGAAACAATGCTCAGCATCCGCAGCATGTAGAGGTTGGTGTCGGCAAACACTGGCTCCTGCTTCTGCAGGCACTCCCGGCATAATTTCACAACCTAGAGTGAGACACAGGCCCGTCCATTACCATTATACCAGAACACATGTGTAATTCACATAGAGGAGCACCATAATGACATTGGACACTCATTCTTTTAAGGATGGGAAGATTTCTGACAGAGGAGGGAAAGCACAGGTTTGTGATTTGATTAGCAAGATGGTCCCATTTGGCTAAGGCATAGGGATGGGAAGGGTAATGGTTGGAGATAATGGCTGACACCGCAGAGTGAGTTTTCAAAGCCAGTAGGTGACAGGGAGCTATGCAAGCTATGTATATATTACACATGCATACATACATGTGCATACATATATACAGATGCATAGTTATATATACATACATACATGCATTATTTATTTATTTCACAACAATGCAATGAGGTAGGTGCTATTAATATTCCCATTTTACCAGATGAGGAAACTGAAGCACAGAGAGAATAAGTACTTTGCCAAAGTCACAGAGGTAGTGAACAGCAGCAGATCAAGGATTCAAACCAATCAGTCATTCTCCATCTTGACTACCATCCCCATGATTCTCCATCCTGGCTGTGCTTTAGAATCAGCTGGAAAACTTTTTAAAAACACTGATATCCGAGCCCTACTCCAGACCTGTTGAAACCGAATATCTGGAAAAGAGATGCTACATGTGTGGTTTGAATTATTCACAGAGAGGTTGGATAATCATGCCCTCCTCGAAGTGTACAAGATGGATTTATGGAGAAGGAGGCTCCCAGGAAGCTGGGATACCCACCAGGAGGACACTGCCTTGCCCCTGGTGAGAAATAAGATCGGTCTGTCATCTTTTCTGACTGATTCACGTGCAGACATAGGCTTAGGCTGCACCCTACAAAGTCAAGTGGTCTCTAGATTTTAGTTGTTCATTGTTTTCTTCCCTTGCTGCTGTCATGGGAGAAATGCCATATAATTCTTTCTATTTAAACTAAGTGAAAACTAACTTTGCTCTGAGACTTCCCCAGAGCCCATGAGGCAACTGGGCAAGGGTGCAGCAAAACGAGGGCTGGCAATCAATTCACCTCGAGTCCATTGGCTAGTGTCCAGCCCAACACCCTGCCATGTTTGAAGGGAAAAGAGGAGGAGAGAAGCCAGGGAATGAAGCCAGTGGAGCTTCTGCTTGCTTCAGCTCCTAATTCGTGCCTCTGACATAGATTTTCCATATTGTACAATAACGTTTTGTTCACGTGACAGTCTCTCCACCTGACAGCAGCATGGCTTAAGTTGCTCAACCTAGAAAGGGCTGAGAAATGTGCAATGAATGACTGAGTGAAGGAGGAGGAAGAAGAGAGAGAAAAGCACATAGAAATGAATCTTCCACGTTGCCATGTCCTAGTGACACTCAAACCTGGCTGCACACCTGTGCAATGAATGACTGAGTGAAGGAGGAGGAAGAAGAGAGAGAAAAGCACATAGAAATGAACAGAAATGAATCTTCCACGTTGCCATGTCCTAGTGACACTCAAACCTGGCTGCACACATGAGATGCTTAACAAGCTTGGGGAAAAAAATACTGATTCATGGTCCCTGTGTTCTGTTGCAAACGGAATGAATTGTATTTTAGGGGTTAAGACACAGGAATCAGTATTTCCAACAAGCTTCCCAGCTTAGTTCAATGCAACCACTCTGCAGGCCAGTATTTGGCAGTGGGTCTCAACTTTGGCTTCACGTTGAAATCACTTGAGAGCTTTAAAAACCTTGTGTCCCATCCCCCAGAGATTCTAGTGAAATTGTCCTGGGTGGGAGTCTGGGCATCAGGATTTTTCTTTTCTTTTTTTTATTTTTTTTGTCTTTTTTCATGTCCGGCAACGGATCACAACCCTCAGTGTCACGCCCATACCGGACCAGGACCGGCAACGG